GGTTAAGCACGTTAATTACAACTACTTAATATAATGAGCAAACTGCAATAAAATTAAATGACAGGCACAAGTAAAATAATTAGCGGTGAACATACATATACATGCGACAGAACGCGTGCGCGAAATTTTCTTGCACATCCTTTTGTTGTACGTATCCGTGATACATAAATTCCGCGTATCCGTTTAAAATTTATTTGCTAGATGAATAACTGTTGTGTATCCCCCAGATGTTTAATTCTGGTATTTGTTGAAGGCATTACGCGGTTTTAAATCGTTAAAAAATCTTACGTTTATTCACAAGTCCTAGAAAATGTATTTCTAGTATTTCAATTATTTTGACGAGAATTTGCATTAAGCTAAAAATATGTCGTCCACGCGTATGCCATTTCTGTTACAAATTTTTATCTTTACCTATTTCATTTAACGATTATTGAGATTATTTTAAACTATTCCAAACTGTAACCAATTGGAATTTGCTTTTAAATTGTATTTATGTTATCTATAATTATATATCTATTAAATTACTATAATTTTAATTAATATAAGAATCTTGTTAGACACGCGAGAACACAATCAATAAGAAATAGGAATTAAAGACTCATAACGATCAGAGCTGGATCTTTGCTGCTTAAATAATTTAAAATATGAATTATATGTAAGTATACACATTATACATATAAATATCATATTTGTAATTATTTTTAAACTGCGCGCCGATATTTCATCAGACTTAAAAACGGAGCTGAACTATCGAAATAATATCACAATTACATTTTGATGTTCAATAGGCATCTATATTATAAAGGGATCTTAATATAATAGAAATCCGTAAATAATTTTATTTATTGCGAAAGTATTATTTCGGTCGTAAGTCGAACCCGGATTTCTTGCATTCTGTCTTAAATCTTTAGAATGTTGGTTACTAATTTTAAACAGCCGATTTTTAATTGTGTATATTTTGTGTTACAATTATGTATTAGCGGTTAAAAGTAGATCAGATATATGTAATATGTAGTCTCAACAGCGATTGAATCAGTTATTTATTACTCTCTTAATTAGTTTAATAATTATAGAGTCGCAAGTAGAGAATAAAATTATGGATAAATCATGACAGATAAATTTGGTGAATTATGAATTATTTCACATAATTATTGTCAGTAATATTAGCCTTTATACAGTTTTTATAAGAATGGATATTCATACAGAGGTTTTTGTAACAGTAGCTGTTCTTAAAATAATGTTCGTTACAACATTGCTTAAGAGATATTCTCATATAAAATATATCTTTTCCCCGTAACTCTTAAAAAAAATAAACGAGTGAAACAAAAATTATGACGTTCCTTGCAAATAATTCATACGTGTTTCTCATTTCAGAACCATGAATTTATTTCTACAATTTATTTCTTTCTTTTCACAGTGCTTTCGCATTGACATACACTTGCATTCACACATTTATCTTTCAACTCTTTATTACGTGATATTTAATTTCAACGTGATTTATTGTAGAAAGAGATTTATGTGAAAAATGAGACTCATTACGAATATCTGCAAATTGTTATCTAAAAAATGAAAGAAGCGTGTTTTCTCAAACGATATAATCAACGTGTGTTCTTTTAAGTGATATGAAATGAATGTCTCCAGAGATTATCGGAAACAAAGCGTGATTTAATTGTTTATTATGTTTGTTAAAGGCAACATGATTCAACGGTGAAATAATAATACAATCGATTATGTTTTCAGCGCCAATAATGGTCGGCTATGACGTTCCAATATGTGCAAGCAACGTTCCGACGGACAGCACGACTCAACCGGCGCGCGGCGAAAGAACGTAAGTCACTTTGTTTTCACTTATACGTTTATTCTGCTGTCATTTAGAATTAGAATTTTGATAATACCTATATCTGCAGCAGAAAAATTATGTCTGTTTCATGCAAGATTATTGCTTTTCCACACAGATGGATTTAGAAACATAAATCATATTGGCTGTGTTCCGACTATCAGTATTGAAAATCTATGATGCACATGATGTAAACTAAAGATTTTCAGTACTGGTAGTAAATTTTGGAACACACACACACACACAGTTATTGAAAACAGTCGATATTTATTAAACTAATTTGCAACGCTGGTTTCATGTAATATCATTATAAGACAAAAATGACTCGTATTTGACTTATCGTTCATTTTACAGTTATATAACTATTTATAATAAATAAAACTTTTTATGATCTCAACATTACCGTCTATGAGAAAAGGCAATTATATTGTTGCGTAAAGATATTTTTTTTTTTACTGAATTATGCTTTTCTGACATATTGATATCGCTTCGTGTCACAAAGTACGCAAGTTTGTCTCATTATGTAAAACTTTCTGTGAAATGACTTTAATTTTGATGGGTAGAACGGTCTTTGCTTCATCGGAAAGTTTCTATTTCACAACTTGATCAGTCTTCTTGACTCCTTAATTACCAGCCGCATATATTTATGAATCCGTCTCATTGCACGTTACTGTAAATCCCGTTTTAGATGATCTATAATTTGCTGTAAAAAATTCGCGTATCTACAACATTCTGTCGCGGTTATTATATACATATATATATCAAATTGTTGTAAATAACTGTAAAGATGACAAGATTTTTATACTAAATGACTTTGATGAGTTTAAATCATAATGTGTATCTATATACTTACATGGCAATTTAATAAAAGCTTATTACGAGTAATAATTATTTAATTATGGTATTGCGATAATTGCGATAATACCAATTTGCGATTACCATCAGTTGTCGATAGCAATATGGATGCTTTTTATACTTTGCTAAAAGGTGTATGTTTCTTTTTCGAGATTAAGGTATTATTATTGCGAAATATGTCTACACATATTTTATATCATAGATTACATCGTTATAATTATCAACTTTATTAATACATTGCGTGTATCAAGCGCACAATTCTTCATAAAAATGAAACTTGTTTCTGTTTTACGGATACAATTTGCAAATATTTAAATATTTTAACATGTACGACCTGTAGATAAAATTCTGCTTTCAAGTTTATTACGAATCATAAACTGTAGTATTTAAAGTATAGATTCAACGTTTTCGAGAAATGGTGCATCCGAGTGTATCCGAGTAGCAAAATCGCGTGCACGATATTTGATTCGGCGCGAGTCAAATGCGGTTTTTTCGAAGCCTTGTGATCACTTTGCCTTCGTCCGGTAGGTCCTCTATAAATATCAGAAACGCGCATTCGCCCCGGAGGCGTTTTCGACTGAAGAGTTCGGACGGAACAACCGTAAAGGTCCTGGAACGTTAATTTATAGCTGACCGCCGCAATACCGGTAATCTAATTAGTTTAATGACCAAAAAATATTTCCCGAGTCTTTCTTAATCCGAGACAGGTAGCGCCGACTTGACTCGTTCAATGTCGAAGCTTATCCGCGAAAGTATGTGTGCCTCGTGAAAGTTCTTTCGGCTTCTACAAGAAAAAGGAAACTCACTTGATACAATTTACGTATCATTTTGGCAACTTGTTTGCGATAATATTTAGCGATACGCCAGAAGAGAAAGTTTTTAACTCTAGAGTGTTAATCATAATTTTGTCGAATGCTAATGATACTTACTTATAAGACACGTATATTTTAGAGAGAGAAAAAAAATATATATATATATTAGTAAAGCATTTTTTCAATTTGTGTGCTCCAGTGTTTCTACTTTAAATCCGATAGTGTTCAATAAAAAAAATGTCTAAAATTATTGGTACATTCCTAAATTAAGTAACACTTTATGCAATACCTGACAATATTTTATTGGCTTTTATATTTTACAAACTAACAAAACTGTAATAAGTATTTAAACTTTATACTAAGGAAAGCTGCTCAGAGACAGATAAAAGTCTACACTTTGAGCAGTGAATCGAGTCGTCGGAAATCTAGAAAGATTAAGGGTTGCGTATATAAATTTGACTGGCGATTATCGATAACAATTAATTGTCGGAACAAATGATGGGTATATGTATACGCGTTTAGGCGGATACAGCTGAGCGCGGATCGCTTGAAAGGGCATACACGGTCGCGGGTAACATTGTTGCGCGACAGGCCGTCCTATGTATACCGGTTGTTTTGTCATTTAACCAGCTCGCGCGGGTTGTTCCGCAACTTTGTAAGGCGTTTTCGCTCGCGTGTCCGAAATTCCGCGCACCCTGCAACGTCGCGAAGACCAAGCGGACACGCGAAACCAGATGCGTCATCGCGTAACGGATAATTATGTCGCAGTCGATAAAGGGTGACCACTTCCTCGAAACCTCCAATCATATTGTCGTCGCGTACCGTGGACTTGTCAAACCGACTGGCTGATGTAATACGCGCCCACCACGTAGAAGAGCGATACGTGTTGGTGCGCGCGTAAAGAAAGCACCGGATGTGCGAGAGCCGACGTTGTTCTTCCTACTGTCGTCGATATGCACTCGCCACGTTGTCATATTTTGTCGATCTTCTCAATTGACAACGACGACGACGATGACGATGACCGCTTATATACCTCTTTTTCGAGTAACGAGCGCACCTGCGAGAGTCGCGCGTCAAGTTCCTTCCGTTTCTTCGGCGTGTCCCGAGTCTCCACGCGAGACCTTCACTTTGGCTTTACTTTGACAGCGCGATTACAAAGAAGAAAACGCGTTACAACGCTAGCTGCGTATATATAATATAGTATATGCCAATCGCATAATTCAGCCGAATACGCACGTTATAATTATCGCTACTCCGACTTACCTGCGCGCACACGGGAGAGGGTCTGACGTAATTGCGAAGGCTATTAACAGCCGAGAAACCGTGGTCGCGCGAGCGCGCGCGTGTTGCTATTACAACTCGTCGAGAGAGAGAGAGAGAGAGAGAGCGAGGTATAAAAAGTCAACTATTACGAGCGCGAAATCGCGTGTGAACGTGCCGTCGCGTCGCGACGCGCCGTGCCGCGTTGGATGGGGATCGTCGTGAGGAGAGCTCGATTAAATCTGCAGGAGAATCGCGACGCCGGCCAAAGTCCACTTAGTCGGCTTGTCACGGGTCTTCAAATTGAACGTCCAGACGTATGTAGGACCGCGCGTTCTGGTTCTATAGACCGGGCATTCGTACACGTTCTTCGTCTCTTGCTTGTCCTGCGTAATCGCCTTTACGAACACGACCGGCATCGGACAGAATAGCTCCTTCAATCGCGAATCCGCGATGATACCGCTCGCGACCTCCCATCGCGCACCCTCCATGTACAGACCGTTGACATAGGCACCCTCGCGCGGTGGCATCCTGAAGCCAATGAACGTGTTATCGTGCGTGTTCATCTGCATGCGTCGCTGTTAACCCATTGAGGACATGCATCTCCCCAAGAAAATTTATTGCACTTAATCGCATCTTGGCAGCCTATTGTTTCGACTTGTTACGCGAAAGCAATTTACATTTCTCATATATCATACGATAAAAGTGAAAGATGATCGGACCAATATTTTGTTTATAATCGAAAAGTCCTGAAAGGGTCAGTTTTACTTTACCAAGTTGACTGAGTGAGTCTTACGTAAATTCCTCCTTCTGCTTTCTGGTTACGTCGCAATGCAGACACATTTTGTCCAGGGGCCACTCGTTTTTACGAGCGGTTTGCTGCATGATGGCGGTGAGTAAGGACTGCGGATTGAAAAAACCACCCAGCCAGATCGACGACGGCAACTGTCGAAAGATGCGCGCACCGCGAGAAATTAGATTGACCACAGTCGGAGAAGAGAGGAAGTCAAATTTTAACGCAAAGTAAATGACAAACGTTTGCCAAGGCACTCTCTCCGATACTTGAACCGTGACAAAATTTAAATTCTCTTTCCCACGCTTGAACAAAGTATACACGCTGATGTAATCTAATTTCTCTTTGTAATATCCTGCCTACTCACGTTAAAATCTATCGTCCAATTCGATAGCTCGGTTATTCGATTGAGCATGTCCGCGAACCAACTCGATAATCCGAGAGTGGAGGGATAGGCGCGTTTGGTCCAAGATGGTGGCACAGACTCCATGAACAAATAATTTTGCAAATCTTCCATATCCGCGCTAATCGTGAGCTCGCCCTGAAACGAATTTGTCGGTACACCGCGTACTTAACTATTCGATAATTTTATCACGGTACTCACCTTCAAGCCGAGATCTAATTCTCCCAGAGATCTTTTCAGTTCCTTGCACAGCACGTTCATATGTTCGCATTCTTGGAGAGCGACTATAACGAAAGGAGTTTGGTCTTCCGCCTAAGGAGAATCAGTTTGTTTTTTTTTTTTATTACCGTAAGGTTTATGTTAACATGTGACGTTATAAAGATAGAGACGACGGAATCAAAATTCGCGCGATTAAAGTAGCGATAAACTAAACCAAGGACATAAAACGTAACAACCGATATCACAAAAAAAAAAAATAAACGTAAGGGATAATTGCGACACTATTATTAAATATGACACCGTGATATACTCCAATGATATAGAATTGATACTTATAGTTTTTTATAATGTTGTGATAGTTTGAATATGTAATTGGTAATGATTTTATAATTAGATATTGCTCTTAGTCTTAAAATTTAGCCATTTTTTACTAGATTATACTTATATAACGATAATGTATGAATATTCAGGAATGCTTCGACAATTCACCTTGCTCATCAAGTCTGATATATTAAAATCTTCGGGAAGTTTGTCCAGTATATCCTCTATTATAACTTTCACCTTGTCCTCTTTCGATAACACTCCGACTGCAGTGTCGATACTGTCCCGTGGTTGCATCCCCCAGATTGTTTTAAACAAGTTTTCTGCTGTATTTGTGAGAAACCCTGTACAAACAAGTTTAGGTAAATTAAGTAAAAGTCAAGAAAAAATAAATTAAAGTAATTAAGAAATTTTACCAATCTCCGCGTTCGGGTGCAGTCCGTATAGGATGGGACTTTCCGGCGGTAAATAATCTTCTACATATCGATGATAGCCGGTGTAATCGGTACTGGGTGGCACCAGAAAACCCGGAGCCAAATACAATTCATTTTCAATCAACTCTGGTTGCAGGTACTCTAAGAGATATGTTCGGCACAATCTTCTGTCCCAGTCGTCGGTTATATGACCGCCATACATTATTTCGCCAAATAAATAGCGTAAATTTTCCCAAGGTACTTTAGTATTACTCTCGAGATAAGTCAACAATACCGATGCACTGATGGTCAAGTCACCGACATTGAAGGGATACAACTATATATTAGGAACATGTTAATGAGATGTTAGTAATAAAACTGGAAACAGCAAATATAGTCGTCAAGATGTGCGGTGATCTCTCTCTCTCTCTCTCTGTATATATAAAACAAATATAACTTAACATGTGTTTGTTTTTATATATATCTAACATTTTCTATCTGAAAGCTTTATAATTTTTATATAACGTTTCAATATCATCCGTGTTATTAAAACAATATATATTGTACACAAATTGAAATTTTATACTATAATTGAAACTTTTAAAGTTTTCTAACACGATAATAAAAACGGAATTTCACAGCAAATTATAGATGATTTAAAACAAACTTAAAAATGCTGGGTCACAGGAATTTGTAAAATTTGAAATACCGACCCTATTCCATCCTTGTGCCCCAAATTTTCTACGCTCTGCCACAGCAGCGTGATAATAACACAGGGTGAAAAGAATAGCTTTGAACTCGGTCTCCTTGCCGCAAGATTCCAATGTGTCCTGGCTAAAGTTGTCCAAGGCTTTGTGAATGTTGGCGCGCATACCCGTTGGCGGTTCGTTGGTGATTTTTATGGCCGATTCTAGTATACCCTTTCATTTGCAATGTATCAAAATAATATACAAAACGATATTAGGAAAGCTCGATTAGTCGCCTCGTAAGATGAGCGCTCGGAAAAGTGTAATTTACATAATTTCGAATTTACGTAGCTATGCGCTGTGTTTAACGTAAAATGTGAACAAAAAAATTTATCCTCTTTTAAGCAACCCTGATCTCGTGTATTTGTCAGCTTTTGTTTTTACTTGTGGTATTATTGACGTGTGAGGATCTTGGTTTGGTTCTGCACTAATATAAAGCCGATAATTTTCGTGTGACTCTTCCGAGAGTTGTTCTATCTTCTTTTCCAGATTTGGCAACCACTTCTTTACTAGATGAACGTTTTGAAGTATAACCCAATGACCCTTGCGCGCTGAGATTTCTATCATTTCTTCTGCGATAGGTTCCTGACCTTGTCCTAATGATATATTGTGGAAATTTTGCGCGTCGAATGTAAAGCCGAGCTGTTTACCGAGTTTTTCAACATCCTACATGAAATCGTAATTTCATTTTTAATTTGTTATCAATCACATCAGACGATGCTAGAGTGACTTTAACAAACTGAATATTTGAATATACGATTAATGTCAAATCTACATTTAGTGATATAAAAAGCGTACTTTTAGAGGATCGACTCCTGGAGATAAAATAAAGAATACCGGCGTGTTCGCACTCGTTTCTTCGTACGATTTTTCAAAAGGTTGCATTCGAAACTGTATGAATTTAGCTCCCAGTTTTTCTTCCACGAAGTACCTATATTCGTTAAAGGATTAATGATTGAAGGGTTAATGGAAAGTGGAAAAATAAATCGAAACATAATTGAATGTATTTTTGTATTTATCAATATACTTAACACTAATCTTTCACTGAAAGATTATTTCAAAATCTTATTCTAACAAATTACCGTATAGCGTAAACCATTCGATCTAGTCTCACGCATCTCATTATACAAAGTCTCTGAAAGAATGTTTTATTTTTCCATTCCTGAGGGAACTTTTCTCTCTCAGGTGTTTCCGATTCGACGAATTTTTTCCACCTCTTTGCTGCTCCATCTATATCGCGGTCTAAATTGCGAAAATTTTCCATTTCGCTCAGATACTTGATACCACCCCAACCAACGTTGCTCAGAAAATCCACCGGGCTCGTGAGATCAGGTAAATAAGGGAATCGCAACAGAAAATCCACTTCGAATGGATCTATCTCTTTTACTTGCATTAGAATCTAAATCGTAGTATTTGTTCAATACATCTGTATTATAATACGTATGTAAATAATTGTAAAATATCAGTTTACTCCCCATAAATAATAACTTCTTAGGATATATGACCTCTTAATAAAAATTTACAAAAAATAGAAATGTCGAAAAATTATTTCGAATTGTTAAAGTTATGTATAATGTTGAAGACAGCTTAAGAGATTTTTTTAGTCCATAAAGATTATTTAGAAAAGAAAATTTTCGAAACTGCAAGATATATTGTGAAAAAAAAGAACTGTAGCAAATGTTACAACATCCATCTTGTATGTTTTTTTAAAAAGAAATCGGCCAAGCATTTTTATTCGTATTATTTATGAGGTGATTTAGTACCTGAAGAGTTAGCTGGCACAAAAATATGAGCTTGTCGCTCTCGAACAGTCCTCTGCTGGTATATGTAAAAACCAAATACGTGACGCTGTCGATTAAATTGGCGACGCGTTTAGTGAGGGCATCCGCCGGCTCCGTAAATTTAATAGCGTTTTGAAAGACCGTGTTGAATGCCTTGAGAGAAAACTGATACAGCATGTTGATCTTGTTGAGATCGTTAAGGATGAAGTAGAGGAGACTGGCTCTGGAAGCCACTGGTCGGTAGGACTCTCGCGCCTCGTCTATCTTTGCGGCAGTCATCTTCGCCTCGATTGCCTTTGCCTCGATCTCACTCGCAGTCTTCTTCGTAGTTTCGAGATTTTCCACAAGAGCGACGTCACTCAAGATGTCGGGACCCGCCGTCGCCAATCTCAATGAAAGAATAATTTACGAAAATATTTAAAAAGATCCATTTTTGTTCTTTTTTTTTTTGTCATATTCTTATTTCGTGATAGATTGATAAAACAAGTTAACGAACATCCAATCGCGAATAAGACAATTGAAACAAACAATTAAACAGTGTAGATTGGTTGTATATTGAATTGAGAATTCGACTTCTGAACAAAATGATATCTTTTTTTGTAAAGTTAATCAGTATAGTAGAGAAGAGAGAAACATTACGTTATCTCTAATCCACTCGTTTCATTTTTTTTTTCTTTGTCTACGTACCTATGCAACAGATCGTCTTCCAATACTTTTAGCGTGATCTTAAAGGTGTTCTGTTGAGTCGTGAGCTCGGCTTTGCTCGACTCCAAATCCGGACGCTCCGCTTTCACGACGGCACCTAATAGCTGCTCTTCCAAACCGTCTTTCGTAACCGTAAAATTGATGAGAGTAGTCTGTGCTTGCATCTCTGGCTTATAGTGAGGATTCGCCAGTTTTGTTTGTAAGATCAGACGAAAGCGTGGGTCATAATCCACCTCTTTGTCTCCCACCTTGATAGCCCTTTATTAGCATTCAATTTTACAAGATCAATTTGGTCAAGCAGTTTATTTGCCGATGAGAAAACGAAATATTGTACCTTCCTTTCTTTATTAAAACCCGACCTACGATTGGATCTAAAACGGCATCGACAGTTTCCGTGATACTTTCTAGCAGTACTATCTCTCCATTAGCGATAGCGTGTTCAATTTGGTCAAGATAATTCTTTTGAGTTAAACGTAGCACTATCAACTCGTCTCCGTATTTGTTTTTGATCCATTTGATTCCTTGTAACTGCGGATCAATCATTAAAGGCCACCTGGATGAATTTGTAAGTATCGTGGCATTTTCCGAAGACATTCTGTCTGTAGGTAAACCTGTATAAGGATATATATTTTTTAATTAAGAATTAGCCGAAAAAATTTACTCAGTTCTTATTTGCTTCACTTTTATTTGTTTACTCGTAGAAAATCATCAATTTGTTTGATTTTTGCGCTCTACTTTAAAATATTCTGTATCTATTATTGTAATTGATATTAGGCTACAATAGAGTTTCGTGTTTTTTACCTTCGTTATTCCATTGGGCAATTTTTGCATCATCAGTCATTAAAGACAATGGATCCAGACCTGGCGTATATGATATTGGCATTTGCAAATTATTGAGAAACGGCAACCAATATAAATTCATAAGATCTATTCTATATTTCTTCGTAAAACATCCCATGTAAGAAATGAATGCCGTGACAAGCAATACGTTGCCCGGTAGAGTAACTCCGGATTCCTTTAATCTGTTTTGTCATAAGTACGCTTAGAAGCTCGCTTAATGTGTGACATTATCTCCAAGTTATTGCATTAAAATAAAACTAATTGAACGAATGAAAGTAAGTTTGAATGAATATCGAGTCAGTTAGATGAAAAACACTCGATGTGTACGTATTTAACTAATTATTGTTTTTTTTTTATTCAAAAATAATTTTCTTTTCTACTTTATTATATTGTATATAAAGGCAAATCTACGTACAGTTGTACAGTTTCGGCCCAACGAATATTCTCAGATGCTAGACCGTTTATCAGTCGATTTGCTAGATCTATGATGAACGCAGTCGCATCTGCTTCGTCTTGACACTTTTGTTTTTCAGCTAAAGCCACACTCATTTTTTCACTCAAAACATCCAATACTTTTTGAAGCTCCTGCGGGCGCAAATAAGAGAACGTTGTTTTATTCTGATATCAGAAACGGAAGAGATAAAGTCTACTGCGTTGCTGAAACAAGCTTACCGCTAATCGACTCCTCAAAGAATTCAACTTTTCCATAGCAATCCTCAATTCGGCGTTTGCCTGAGCAAGCGCTACTCTCAAAGGTTTTACATTCTCGTTGATATAATGAAACACCATGATATTTTTCACCCAGCTACAAAGTCCCGCTGCCGCTTGCGATTTTGAATATACAACATTCGGATCGAAATCTAATGATACGCGTGGTTAGTCCAACATATTTTTTATTCTCAAGTGTATTATAATTTTCGTATATATACAGAAGATGTATTTATAATGTTTTACTTGACGTATTCATCTATATTCAGATTTGACGATATACAGATTACCTTTATCATTGATGTACGGTTGAATCGCCTTTACAACTTCCGGGTGTATATTCTCTTTATCATAATTACGTAACTCTGACAAAAATCCATCAATAGATCCCATTATCACTCTGCAGACCTTCCAAGTTCTATCTCTTGGAATTTTTCCTTTTGGCGAAAATAAAACGAGCACAGCCTGAGCAACCATAAGCACGGCATCCGGCGGAGATCCGAATGATTTCAGTTCGGTCAAGTTATTCTGCAATGACGTAGAAATTATTTGTTCCGTTCAACTACAATTTTAATTTAGAGAAAAAGAACAATATCTACAAGACGCCTCTCTGATTTGGCATTATATCCTCAAAATGAATTTTGTTTCAAAATTTGTTTTATTATTGCCTTTACCTGGAAATTTGTATCATGTAATGTGGTACGTTAATATTTTTTTATCTATGCTTATAATGTAAATTGCGTAAATTCGTTAACCTTGTTCAAAGTATCGAGCGCAGCTTCGGCCTGTCTCACCGCTGGCTCCGCACGGGCCAAGTCTTCATCGCAACGTTTTTGATTTTCTGATACTACCTCCTTGATTTCCGCCACTTTTGCCTCTTCCTCGGTTACTGAAATTCCATCGTGTTATTTTAGCATTTTTGTTTTTGTTCTCCAATATCTTACCGATAGCTTTTTCTGCCTCCGCTTTTACATTTTCCGCGCGTACTTCGACCAATATCTTATCAGCGATCTCATTCTTTTTCTTCAACTCGATCTCTTGAGCCGTCAGAATGATCTTTAATTTGTCGGCCTACCTTGCAAAAAGTAACTTATAGAGGATATATTATGTGAAATCTTTGCAGTACAACACGGCAAGCATGTTTATTAATTTTCTGTTATATTGCATATTCAATCGTTCTTGTAATAATATACAAATATATTAGATCTGGCGAGAGAGATAAACCAGAAGCTACCTGAATCGCGCAAGATTCGAGTTTCACCAATCCATCGGTAAGACGCGAAATCATTGCTTCCAGGTCATGTGATTTTTCTGTTAACAACTTGGAATATAAAGAAATTTGCTCAAGGAAGGACTTGGGTGTCGTATAGTTGTATCTTCTTTCATTTTGTAAATATATCGCAGACACATCGTTAACGCTCGTATGAACGAAAGACATGAAGAGCGACACGGAAGTTCGGTATTCGGCCGGTAATTCTTTTAATTCCTAGCATGAAGCATTGCAGATTAAAGCTCTTTACAGGAAAATAGTGTAAAATAACATTTCACTTTAGCACATTTTAGGGGAATAGTATAATCAAATAATTATATAATTATTCTAAACTTGTTCAATTGCTTTCAAAACATTTCTGAAATTCTGTTTTAGATTTAGAATCTTATTGTTAGATTTTCTTTAATTTTAACAAACAAATTAGTAACAAAAATAAATTACTAAAGAGTATATAAAGATTCTACTTGAGACCTATATGTAAATCACGAGATCTATAGAAATTATTTTTGACATTTTTTTGTAATTGTTGAGAGAGGAAGAGTTATATATGTGTGTGAAAAACCTCCAGAAACGTTGTCGACACGGATTCTAATGCTTTCTGCGGCCAGTCTTGAAACCAGTCGATCGCGGTGCAATTTACTATTGCAGGGAATTGCCTAGCCCTTTTCCGAAGGGTTGCTCCTACCGGTGAGAAGCACAGAACACACTTCAATTGCCTTCGTACGCGATCGATAAAAAATTTCCAACAATTCTCTTTGGTGTCAATTAATCCGGTTTGCTTAACCTGCATAATGAGTGACCGAACTGTTATAATTAATACATAATCCTCTCAACATATCAAAAATTGGGCATTTTCGAATTTTAACGTGGAAAAAAATGCAAAATAGAATAAAACACAAAAGAATAATTTTCTCAAAAAGAAAAATTTTCTCTGTGTGTGACTTTAGATACTCAAGTAGTACTTACAATAATCAGATATCTCACTTCCGTTTCTTATTAGGTACAGAATACAGAGATTACTCTAACAGTACTAGAAGAGTGATACGTGTACTTTACCTCATTGCGCACTGCGTTAATGATATTGTCCACTTCATCATCAGTAAATAGTTCCATGATTTCCCCCGTCGCTAACATATCGTTCACCACAACTAAGAATTTTTCTTCCGCAATTTGAGAATCACTCATTAAAAAAGTAATACCAATACCCTTCACGCCGGCCTTTAGGTACAACACGGCTAAGTCAGCTTTCAGTTCGTTTAAGGAGTAATCTTTACGTAATTGTATTTGAAATACCTGTTGTACATGTCAAAATTTAATATATGAGCAACAATTTTTTTTAGATCTTTAATATATAGAGCAATATAAGCGTGAGTGAATTCACACTCGGACATTTTGTGCTGACTCATATTGGTATAATTTATATTGTTAGATTTGATCACTTGAGTTTGTTTTTTATTTTTTTCTTTATATATCGATTCGTTAGAATTGTTTTAACAGTTTGTATAGGAAATAATCGATTGTTGTCTATATTTTATTTATTTATACTTGATTAATTAAAATCGCGACTTACATCAGTCTGTGATATCTATCCTCTAAAATATCTTCTTGGTTAATTTGGAAAGTTTGTAAAATGTAAGCATTGCGCTTAGGATGCCTGTTGAAAACGGCTCTACTTACCTCCAACGAGGAAACGAAAGAAGCCAAACGCGATAAAGATTGTTTGCCGCTACCACCTACACCCACTAGAAGTGCATTGCCCCTCGGTGCCTCTAAAATTCTGTTGATGCGACACACGTGATATATAGCATCTTCGAATAATACTAGATTCATCGCGGACACCTGTATTTGATCGATCGATAATGCACTTGTAAAGATATGAACATAATCGGAATTATAAACGATTGAATCAGAAATCATTTTTCAGTTAGCATTGCACATATATAAATAATGATAGTTACTACTTGACCCAGAATTGCGATATAATTATTTAAAAAGAAATTAAAAGGATATATATTGTAAAACTAATTGTAAGTACATTATACGGGATGATAATATATGATCGAGATAATACCAGTTCATTATAATTGAGTAAAGCACCGTCGAGTAATTTTACAAGCTGCGTCCAATTTTTGACAGGCGCGTATTTAGGTTCGCCAATTCCTTCTGCGAAATGGCAGTATATTAACGGCTGCTCAAAACTAATTTCATTTTCGTCCAACTCCTGAGAGATCGTTAATCAATGAAATAATTGATTAGTATAAATATGCACAAATATAGGTATATAGATATATACGTTTACATTGTAAAATAAAATTAGTTGAGATTACAAATTTTGTTCTATTTTTGACTATGACTTTCACTGATCTCTTTCTATTAAACGTACGGGTATATTTTTGCGAAGCGCATTGAGCAGCAGTTCATCGAATACTTTCTGGTCTTCGAGGTTTACCAATTTGTCACGATACACTCGCATCGCTTCATGAGCGTAAAGCCTGATTACGTGACTCGGAAGTGGTAAAACGTCGCCACGGGCAAAGAGCATCCCCTGTGCGTAACATCGAAGCAGGATTATCGCCATTATTATGCGGAAAATCATGTTGTCGTTAATGTCGATCGATATTCTTCGCGACTCTAACCTGGAATATATTGGTTAAATCGCGTAAATTGAAAACATAATGGAACTTGATGACCGTCGGTAGAAAAGTCGTGGCGATTTTATCATGGAGATATAATGCGGCGTCTATCAAAGGATCTATGAATTTTTGTACTGCTGGATTAAACTTTTGCTGTGGATCGATCACATGCTGTTTAAGGATCTGACTGTATATCATCACGAGCGCCTCTTTTTGTGGAAAACTGAGAACAAGCATCAAAAGGATGTTAATTCAATGATAAAAGTACCGGTCGCTTGTATATTTTATGTATAATAATTTACCTAACTGCGAACACAGCAAAGTGTCTTTGTAAGCGTGGATCTATGACAAAACTGCCTGCAGTAGGATTCATGCAAGATACATACTGCGTATTGTGAACCTCCTTCAAAGTTAATTTTGTTCTATCATACCTGCATTATATTGATCATTTTTATTTTTTTTTATCATTACTTTTATATATTCCACATTAGTGATGAGGAATTGTAACAAATTAATAATTAAATGTTTTTGTGGAATATTTGAAGATTATAATGAATTTAATTTCATGCTAAGATAAACGCTTAAATAATACCAACAGAATTAAATAGATATTAATTTATCACGCTCTATACATCTCACTCTACATAAATTATTACCAGTGATTGTAATCCATATGCTGTCTAAGCAGAGTATGAGGTTGTACAGTTCCATAAGTGTCCACTTCCGGCATATTCATGTCGTCTATGAAATACACCAAGAGTTTTGTGCCCGGTGGACCGTAATTACGTCCTGCTTTCTTCTCCAAATGTTTCTCGAGTACTTTTTGCAACATATCTTTTTAACGAAAATGAAACCAATATAGTTTGTCGTTAAGTTACGTCTGTTATAATGTACAATTGTCTATCATTCGTGAAAAACTGAAAATTTTTCAGAAATAAGTGTCTTTTCATCTCTAATAAGTTTTAACTAGTTTTATAACAACTCTATAATTTAAGAAACTTGAATTGCCTCGCTCATTTACCTGATGTAGTGTAGAAATTAAAGGGAACATTTGCTACGTTATAATTATCTGACAAAGTCGCCAATTTGTCGGCCATAATGACGCTTTTTCCGGAGCCCGCTCCACCCACTAACATGATCGGAACACGCTTCTTTATCAACAAATCCATGAAAAAACGCAAACGTACTGTTTCTCCAGTTGGCACCAAAGCGGACTATATCGAACGTGAAATATTTTACATATCTAATATATGTGTGTTTTATTTTTATTCTTACTCGTTGAACATTGTTTGGCATTTTACATTCTTATTTTCAAATAAACTAATAAAATTTGAAGGAAACCTGAAGCGGAATATCCGAATCCAATTCAAACGAGACGACTTTTTCTGTCCAAGGTATTAATTTTTTCGTTTCTGGTTCTATAAAGTAACTAAATATAGTTCCGCTTGATGGAAACTTGATAGTTCTGAATTCATTTTGCCACCATTTGCTAAATTCGTTCCGCCAATCAATCAACTGATCTCGAAACATTGCTGAACCAAACGCCCAAATGCAGGCGAACGCGAAATATAATTCATACCTAAGGTATATAAACGTAAAGCTTTGTATCTTTTATACCATTAGTTATTATAAAAGGGGAAACTGTTAGAATATGAAAAGTTTATTTACTAATATGTCATATATATTACCATTCCTTTGGGCAGTCCGATGGCACGTTTTCTTTAGTTAGAAAGCAATCGAGTAAGTGACAAAGCATTTGTAAATGACATATTTCTGGTAAAGGAGTGATCTTCTTGAATTTCGATTTTGTTACTTCCAGTAGCGGTGGAATGTATTTCTCGAAGAGAATCGACAAATTAGCTCGTTCCGAATGATCTCTCGTTTCTGTCCAACTTGTGACAAATCTAGGCAAATTTATCGATTAAAACTCAAAAAACAATCGATCGATATTTATTAAATAACAAAATGAGAAATCGCATGACAACAATTTTTTTAAAGCTTAGTTGTAGTTACGTCTTTATTTTTTAAGTATTTCAAAATATTTCTTTATCATATAGTACATATATAAACATTTGTATAGAAATATATAGTACTACATGATAAAGTAGACATGTTTATTGCTTACGGGCTCCAACCTAAATCTTGTGGATTGATATATAAAATTCCCGCTCTAGACACTGTTGCAGGCGTAGCTGTCCTGAAATGAAAACATGAATATCGAAAATGCATAAGCAACAACGCTATTTTTGTTACAAGTGAAAATTTCTCCCTTAAAGTCTATACATTTTATGTGAATATTTGTTCGTTAAAATCAAGCGCAAAACTAAAATTTGTTTTAATCTTTTTTTAAGTTTAACCGATTTCAATCCTTTTCCTTGAATGAGTTTTCTTTTCATAGTCAGGTGATGAATATCGAATCATTGGGTGATAATAAATTTTAATTGCGTTACTTGAATCTTCACTAAAATTTTATCTGATTGTGAGCAATTAAAAATATTTTTTTTATGAAATCCAAAATTTTATATTTTAGTAGGTACTTATAGAAATAAAACATTCGTGTATAAAAAATATAGTTGACTGTTAAACAATCACCTTAAATTTGAAATTTCAAAGAGAAGACGCATGTGTTTAGTTAACGCAATTCTTTCATTACTCGCTAATGTTAGAACCTTATTATCGTCCATCACGGTATTCAGGGATTCGATCCACATCGGGTCGATGTCACCGTCGAATACGATCCACTTTGGATCATCGCCGGCCATGTTGGCTTGCTCCCTCATTATCATGGAGAACAACCTGCAAAAGTAGCAATAAGAATAGAAAGTCCTGGCGAGCCTATTACGGAGCATGGGCTAATGTGGCGCGTAGCGCGTTTGATCGCGCGCTGAAAATTGACGGGTGTGCTACTATCTTCCAACCCGTCTTTCCATTCCCTCGTTGCCGGATTAATGACACCAAATAACTCGTCGTTGGTCACCGCCTTTGGGTTCAGATCGTTGTAGTGCGGTTTGCGTTTTTGGTTTGAGTACGTTCGGTTAAGCGTTTTCCAGACTTCGGTCTTACCGGTCCCGGCGAGGCCAACGATAAAGACTGAATGTCGAACGTGAAACAACTCTTCCAATTGTACCACCTGAAGCGAATCGATGGAGAAACTCTCTCTCTCTCTCTCTCTCTTTCTCTTTTGTTCTCTTTTTACTTGCCAATTAACCATTCAAGGTGAACATTACGTGTATAATATACCTTGAGAATAAACCCGTCTTCTGGTTGCAACTTTAAATCAAGAGCCGCAGCTTTAATCATTATTTCGAAATCTAAATCTCTCTTTCGCGGTACATCCAATGCGGGAAATAAATCGCCTGAATAATAAAAAACAAACAAATTGCATCGATATATCTAAGAAGATTGTAAATACATAATTTGTCTTAAAATTTATTACGCTACTTTTTGTGTATAGATTTCTTGTTTATCTATAGATATAACTTGTTTATCTGGTCAACCAACTTTGTCATAAGAAAAAAAATCAGGAAAACGAGCCTTTCTCTCTCTTTATTTTTAACGATTATATTTTTTTAAGCTTTTTTTATGATTAAGAATGAAGATAGAAACGTATTTTAACAAGTTTTTGTTGTTCACACGATAGCTAACGAAATTGACTATGACGGCTAATAAAATATGATGTACTAATATACTTTTTTCTTCGTGTGATTTTTTTTCAACTTATCTCCTCTAGCCAATTTTAGTAACATTAATCTGTGCCTCTTACCTATTAATCCCATGAACACAGGCACATCGTCAGTCACGACTTTTGGCATATTAAAATCCCTTAGCGCTCTCATTAGCACTTGCTCCTCCGGCCTTTGCCTATCATCACGTTTCAGCTTTCCAGCGACGACTAAAACGGACTTGATGGCTCTCAAACCCCAGTCGTAGTGATCTTGCTTGGATAAAAGCTCTCGACATAGCGTGTATAGGGTAATAAACTTCCTCGCCAGTAATCTCGCTTCTTGGAAGCCCTCGGCCACTAACATAATCTCACAAATTAGTTCAAAATCGGGCACCACCATAGCGCAGGGCCTGTTGATTTATTCCGGATTAGTTACGCAATATTAACTCTCGATAATCCTTCTCGTAATAATTCATTTACCGAAATAATGTTTTCAAGTTTTCGGGTAATTCTGTTCTACCGGCGTAACCAGGATTCATCGTTATGAATATGCCAACTGTATCCACGATATTAAGCTCTTCCCCAAAGAATAAGAACTTCTTTTTCCGGTTTTTGACTCCGTCTAGAACACATTTCACTTGCACAGCCACGACCGACAATACCTCGACAGAAATCCTATTGAATTCGTCGAAGCAACCCCACGCTCCAGTTTGCGCCAATCCCTTGTATATGTTACCGCACGACTACAAATATTTAAATGTGAAACAACAAGTTTGTGAGTTTTATCTTGAACTTTATCTAATATATAATAGAGATAACAGATACTAATTACTTACGTTATACGTTAAACAAAAAAATATATCTTGGCACTTTTTTCGTAATATGTTAAATATATTCCAAAGATTATTATGGACACATGCTAGTGTCACAAAATATTAAAATTCGCTTTTTATAACTGATTTGCTTTTTGTAACTGATGATACATAAAAATTTATAATGAATTGTATAATGAAAGAATTATATAATACATCACTTTGTACGATGTAATTACAAAAGAATAAAGTTATTTTACAAGAACATACGACAAGACAACATATCTTTTAAAACTGAACGTATCACGTGTTTCACGTGCAAGAATCTCGTGTAAAAAACGGAAGAGAGAGGGTGAGGGGAGGGGGGGGGGGGGGGG